CAGTAAGGGCGGGAAGTGCTGTGGCTTCCTCATGATGTGGTGTGGGGGCCTGTGGGATGCCCCCGCCTCCCTGTTTCCTGAGGAAACCCAGGATGACTCCACTTACTATCAAATGAGGAGGTGGGGGCAGGAATCTCTTCCTCTGATAGGAACCAGCACTTAGCACAAAGTGTCCACTGCTAGTAGGATGCAGAGAAGCCCAGGTGAGAGGAAGCATGAATGTGTCCCTCCTCTGAATGTTGATTCTGTGCCTAAGGGGTGTGGGCCCAGCCCCTGTTGTGGTCTCCAGGGCGAGGAGTCACAAGGCCCAGGTGTGCTGAGCCACCCCCTCCAGGTGTTTTCCTAAAGCATCCCCAAAGATCATAGGAAGTCTTGGAGCAGGCACATCTTCCCTGTCTGGTGGGAGCTGGGCCAAGAGCCACAGAGCAAGATGAGAAGGAGGTCCAGAATGAAGGGAATTGACTCAGAAGGGTCACAGCAGCGCCAGATGGGAAGCCGAGATTAATGTGTGCACATCCTGGCTTAAGTGGAGCAGGTCCTTCCCATGGCACCCCACAGGCTACCTGCCCTAGAAAAGCATAAATTCATAGTGCTGACCAAGCTTTGCGATAAAGGGCTGGAGGCAGAGAGATGATCTGCAACCAAGGCCTTCAGGATTCTCAGTTCTCAGCAAAGTCAAGAGCTGAGAGCAGGCAGGGTCAGAGCCTATGACTCATGCATGATATTGTAGTGGGGTGAAGCCTTGCTCATCTCATCCTATAACCCTAGCATGAGCCCCACCTTCCAGCCCCCCCAGGCTAAGAGATAAAATCAGAAAACTCTCATGGCAGGGCGCAAAATCAAGTAATTACTTCTCCAGAATTGGTGTTAGATGCTAGGAACATTTCAGTGCTTACTTGAGAACTTTGGAGTTCGCCTTTGCCCTCTGAGAGACCATATTGTCATGGTGAATGGCTTTGACCTTGTAAGCCCTCCTCTTGGTCTCTGTAGAGAGCATTTCAGAATTCTATAGTAAGAATTCCAGGCAACTGATGACCTGCAGTGGAGAAGAATGGCTTCTCCACAAAATCACTTCTCCCATTAAACACTAAGGTCCTAGCGAATAGGGAGTGTGGCTGCTTTGTTTTTGTACCTTCTCACTGCAGCCCATGCAGGGAGGGCAGCAAACAGGATGGGCACAGGAATAAACCCCATGGAGATGCTGCTTCCTGTACCATGTGAGAGAATCACAAGGATAATCTGTCATTTTCATAAGCCAAATCCTCTTACATTTTTATAAATACTTATGACACAGATATGTACAGATTTTTACACAGAATATCATGGGCTTGATTTTCATCAGCATTTCTAGTCTTAATTTCTAGGATTGAAATCTATTTGCTCAAAAAGAAAACAATTAAAAATAACAGATTATCCTTATGATTCTAACTTAAAGTGTATGATTGAATAAATGTTATATTTATATAAGTTAGGGTTTACATCCTCACCACTCTGAGGCTGGATTTTTCTCCTGCATGCAAATACGGTAAGAAAATGATTGATTAGTGTAACTCAATTACTCACCAGTAAACAGGTGAATGCTTAATTTCTGGTGCTGTTTCCTTTTGTGCACCAGCTATCTCATTTTCCCTGGAGGTACTGTGTGCTTTCACACCTGTGTGTGTTTCTTCAGGCTTTTCTGGAAGTAAGCATGTATGGCTGTCACTTCCACCCATTGCTTGTTTAGGTCCTCTGCCCATTTTTGGATTGGGTTGTTTGTCTTTTTGTTATTAAGTTGTATGAGCTGTTTATCTATTCTGGAGATTAAGCCTTTGTCAGTCACATCATTTGCAAATATTTTCTCCCATTCTGTAGTTTGTCGTTTTGTTTTGCTTATGGTTTCCTTTGCTGTGCAAAAGCTTATAAGTTTAATTAGGTCCCATTTGTTTATTTTTGCTCTTATTTCTATTGCCTGGGTAAACTGCACTAGGAGAACACTGCTAAGATTTATGTCAGAGGATGTTTTGCCTATGTTTTCTTCTAGGAGATTTATTGTGTCTTGTCTTATAATTAAGTCCCAAAGCCCTGTTTTTAGATATTTACATAAATAACATTTCCAGTACAAAGTCTCTTAGTTCTATGTTAAAAAAATTATGTATAGTTGAAAAATTCCTTATATATAGGATGATACTTGTAATATACAATTTAAAAGATAATTGTGAAGTATAGACTAATTGGAAATCACTCATGTGTTTAGCAACTATCTTAAGAAGTAGCATATCATCTGTTGTATATAAACTCTCTGTGCACATCACTTTCCCTCTGTAATTGAGACCATCATTGGCCTGACCTTTGTGAGAATAATCATCTTGTTTTTTTTTTTTGAGGATATCATCATTGGATTCAATTTATTTAATAAATAGTCATCCAGTACATCATTCTGTTTTCATTTATAGTTTTACCACATATGTATACATTCTTAAAAATAGCTTAATTTTGACTCTTTAAAAATTATTATCATTGAAATCATTCTGTTTATATTATTTTGTGATTTGCTGCTTTTGTTTAATATTGTTTGTGAGATGCACTGATGTTAACGCATATGATTATGGTACATTGAATTTTAATTAATATATACTGTTTTATTGCATTGATATACCGCATTTTTTGCATTTATCAGGTCTATTGTTGATGGACATTTATGTTTTCCAATTTTGGCTTATTGCAAATAATGCTTCTATGAAAACTTGGAAGTTAATGTTATTTGAGGAGGAAAAATTTGAGTGTATTCAAGTTTGAAGTGCTTTGGGATATATATATGGAGATGTTGAGTAGGTATAAGGATATAGGACTCTAGAGCTCAGAGCAGGAGCTGCCTGGAGATGTAAGGTGGAGAAGCTAGGCCATGGCTGACATCCAGAGAGATTACAGTGTGAGGGGAGAAGAGGGTCTTGCCTTTAGCCTTGAGGAGCTCCAATAGTCAATAATCAGAAGAGAATGAGGAGGAAAGAGATATGAGGAAAACCAGAAGAAGGTCGGATTATTTTTTTTAATAAATAAAAAGAATAAAACATTTTAAGAAATAGGCAGTGGTTAACAGTGTCCAGTGCTAGCTAAAGTATATAAAATCTGTGTTTGTTGGATTTAGCTACTAACACTCAGTGACCTTCATGAGAATTGTTTGGGGGAGTGACAGAGTGTAAAACCACATTGGCATGAAATGATGAATGAATGGGAAATAAGAAAATGGAGATAGAAAATAGAAAATTTGTCTAGAAGGGCAGGAAAGAAAGATAAAGTGATGACTGGATAAGAACGTGAGGTCAAAGGAACTTTTTGGTTTTTCATTGATGAGACTCGAACATATTCATATTCTGGTGAGAAGAATCCACTTGAGACAGAATGGTTGTATATATAAGATGGAAAAAGTATAGATGACAGCATAAGGTTCTGGAAAAGGCTGGAGATGATGGGATCCAAAGATTAGAAATTGGCTTTTGAAAGGAAGAGAAATGCTCAACCAATGTAAGAGGAGTGGAGAAAGATGAAAAAATATGTGGAACGATATGGTAGTGGAGAGTTAAGCATAAGGTAGGAGGCAAGGTCATTGGCTATGAGGAAGAGGAAGCTGAAGCTATAAGGACATGTCTAGAGAAGAGAGGCATAGGTTT